AGTCGGCTCCACGACGCCGACCAGCGAGCACGACGCCTCCCCGTCGCCTCACCCTTTGCCGCCAGAGTATGAGTCGGCGTCCTTCGCCGACGTTGACTTGGTCGACTGCTTCTCCTTGCACGGCGTACCCTCCCAACGAGGGCGACGACCGGCCGACCTCCCTCGGCCTCCCCTGGTGTCGTCGTCGTCGGAGTCGGTGCGGTCGGGGCACTCGAAGGAGAGGTGGTCGGGGTCGCCGCACAGCCAGCATTCCCGACGTCGACCTCCTCCTCCTCGACCACCATCCTTGGTCGACTTCCCCTTGTCGGCGTCCTTGGCCGGCTTCCCACCTCCGCTACCACTGCTGCCAGGCTTACCACGCTGCTCCGGTCGACTTCCTTGCTTCGTCGGGGCGACGTAGTTTGCCTGCGGTAGGAGCTCCGTGGACCTCTCCCGCCTCTTGCATCGCCTCGTCTCTGAGGATGAACGAGGTCAGGGAGTCCTCGTTGAGCGACTCCTTCGTGCCCGACACCACCATCATCCGCTTCATCAGGTTGTAGCCACTTGGGAGATCCTTGATGACGTGCGTGATGTACGACGCCGCCGAGTACTCGACGCCGGCCATTTGCATGCAGGCCAGGAGACGCTGAGCTCGGTTGCAGTAGTCAGTTGCCGTCTCCTGCTCGCCCATCCGCAGGTGCGTCATCTGCTCCTCCAGCTGGCCGATGTACAGGTCGTCGGTGACCTGGTACGTCGCCGTGATAAACCGCCAAGCCTGATGCCCGCGTCCAGGTGACACCGACAAGACTTCAACGCAATCTGCACCACAGGTGAGAAACACCACGAGATGACCGTGAAGGTCAGGAGCTTCACGACACGGAACTCCGCACGCAGCTCCGCGTTACTCTCAGGTGGCGTCTCCACGGTGCCGTCGGTGAAGCTCATCAGCCTGGCCATCTCCAGCTGGGGCTCGATGGATTCCTTCCACGTGAGCAGGTCGTGACGACCTACCAGTGGGGCGGTGACAGTGACCTTGTTTGGCGTGAACTTGAAGTAGCTGTAGGTTGGTGCTATGCCGCTCGCAGTCACGTGGGTTGCTGACGCCGGCGTCACGCTGCCTCGACGTCCACCAACGTCGCCTTGCGAGGAGCCAGCAGCCGCCGACGACTGCAGCCCTCGAGCATGAACGCCGCCGATGTCACCGTCGGCCGTCCGGAACACCCCTCTCTGCCTCGACGTGCCTCCCGCACTACTGCCGACTTGGTCACCGGCGTTGACGCCCACGTCGACGGCGACTTTGCTGTTCACCGGTCTAGGAGAGGCTGGCCGAGAAGGGTGCTCCGCCGCCCACACGGCGCGGATGCCTGCCTCGACGACCGCCAAGGGGAGCGTCTCCCCGTACTCGCCAGCCAAGTGGCATCTCTTCGTATCCTCCAGCCGTGCCTCCAAGGTGTCTACCACCCCTGCGTCACCGATGCCCACCATGGTGGCTAACACACAGCTGCCGGCCTACGAACACGATAGGTAACTGGAACTAAGTCGACTAGACCGAGGGTAAGTCGCGGTGCCGTCCACGCTCACTGCACCATGCGGAGATAACTACTACAACGGGAGCTAGTCTATGGGGTAGGCACGGGGTAGGATCGTAGCATTCGTTCCTTTGTCGTTTGCGTGTGCTCTCTCTACGCATTACATTCACGGAGAGAATTGGCAAGAGTATCACTAGCAAAAGTTGACAACAAAGGTTCAGAATGATAGCAACAACATTGGCAAGGTTGACTACATCAGAGCTAGCAAGCATGCAGGTCGACTGCCAGCGCAGCACGGTCGACCGCGTTCCAGCACGACATGGTCGACCGCGCTCCAGCAGTGCAAAGTCGCGGCCTGCCAACGCTGCAAGTCGACGGCGTGCCAACGCTGCAGCAAGGCGGCTGCACAGCGTTGCACACGCAGGACAGCAGCGCACCCGCTTTGCAGGTGCTCGCAGATGATTGGCGTGCTGTGCCGCGTCACCCGCACAGCGCAGAGCACCAGGTCGTTCACGTGCTATCTACTGCACCTGATCAGCCACGTCGACCTCGGGATACCACCACCGAGGTCGGCTTTGCCAGAACCACCTGGCCGACGATCGCGCACCTCCGCAGATCCCCGTCGTCCGGGTAACCTGATCGACCGGGCAACCACCAAGTCGGCGTCGACTTGCGTGGCCATTGTTGACCAGCTGCTGTACGCGCCCGTCGACCACCCAGGTCGACGTCCTCTAGCCGTCTTCACAAAGTCGGTAACTCCCCAAGTCGGCGCTCCCAAGTCGGGCGCCGACTTCCAGGTCAACCTCCCAAGTCGGCGGCCCCCCAAGTCGGTGCCGACTCCCAGGTCGACCTCTTGAAGTCGGCGACCTCCTCAAGTCGGCGACCTCCTCAAGTCGGCGACCTCCCAAGTCGGCTGCACTTCTCGTACACCCAACTCCGAAGTCGGCTCCGCCCAAGCGAGGATGGGGCCAACACACAACTCCCGTTGACAAAATCGTCTCAAACCATCCCCACACTTTCCCCTCTGTACCAGCCCTGCCATTCCCATCTTTGCCCCCCATGCCAGCAGACGGCATGGTTCTACGGAAGCTTGTTTTTTCGACGTCTCAAAACAGCCCCTCTCCACTTCCCCGCGCTCATCTCCTCCCCTGCTGCAGGTGTGAGAGGACTTCCACCCCTCTCCAACACTCCTCTCCCCCACCCCTTCGTTGCGTCAAATGTATCAATCCTTTAGCACTCTCACCCTCTCACACCTATCGCTCACTCACACCCATCACTCTCTCCTCTCATCACGTATTCATGCTTCCCGCTCTTCCACTCCCCACCCTCTCATCCACACACCCTCATTCCTAACCTGCCCTTCTTCTCCCCTCCTGTGCCTCCCTTCCCTCCGTCTCACTTCCCCTTTTCCCGCGTTTTTTCTCCCGTCCCTCACAGTACAGCCTGTCTCCTATCTTCACTCTCAGCCCATCTCTCCCCGTCCTTTTCTACCCATAATCTCCTTTCCACCTCTGCCATCTTTTCCTACTCTCCGCCCTCCCTTCCCTCCCCCTTCCGTATGCGCTGTTTCCCGACTCTCACCCGCGCTGCTCCCACTTCCGTACACACAGCTACCCCACTTCCCCTGTGCTGCTCCTACTTACCTCCGTACCTCGTGTTCGTCGCTTCCCCCCTCCTACACCCCTTGTTATTTTCTTGATAAACCCTGCCCCTTCGCTCCCTTTCCTTCCTCTCTTCTTCTCCCTTCCCTCCCACGTCGTCTACTACCTTCCCGCCCATCTCCTCTCATCCCTTCCCTCTATGCCCCTGTCCGCTCCCCCGTTTCTCATTCCAGGGATTTTCAAACTGTGCCCTTCCACCCGTTTTGCACTTGCCCTCCCCTTCTTTCCTCTCTCGTTACTCCTTTCTCTCCTCGCCTTACCCTCCACATCCCATTGCATTCCCCCCTTGCATGCATCCTGTTTCGTCATTCCCTCCAATTCCGCCTCCCATCACTCTCGTTTCCCCCCTTGTCCTTCCCCTCCCCGTCGCGCTCCCTTCCCCTCCCCGTCGCGCTCCCTTCCCCTCCCCGTCGCGCTCTCTTCCCCTCCCTGTCGCGCTCCCTTCCCCTCCTCGTCGCCCTCGTTTCGATTGCCCGCCACCCTCGCTTTCTCTGAATGTTGCCTCTGCCCCACGTCCTCGTTCTTCCTGCTTGTCAAGTTGCTTCCCCCCCCCATCGCCCCGCCCGTCTCTCTAGCTTCCTCTCTTCCCTCCCTCCGTGCTCCTCCCTTTGTCCCTCTCCCTTTGCTTCCCATTTCCGTCCAGTGTTCTCTTGCCCCTACTCCGTTTCCCCCTCTCCCATTTCCCTCCATTTCCCTTTCTCACTGTTTCTACGCACTGTTTCCACTTTCCCCCGCGCAGCTAGCCCTTACGTACGCGCTAATCGTGGACTTCCCCCTGCGCAGCTCCACCTTCCCTACACGATGTTTCCCCACTCCCGGCCTGCAGCTCCCCGTTCCCTATGCGCCGCTTCTCCAATTTCCGCCGCGCCTCTCCCCCCTCCCTACTCGCTGCTTCCAGATTCCTCACCCCCACAATCCTGTTTTCATTCCTTCGATTTCCCCCAAGCCATGTCTCCCAGTCTACGCCCTTGCCTTTCTCACCGTGTCACCCGTGCTCTGCTCACTTACACACCCTGCTCACTTACACACCCTGCTCACTTACACACCCTGCACACTCTATCTTGTATATACTCAGCCATGTCACATCTTATTCCCAGGTTTGTGTATGTACAGGCTCTCCATGCATCTGGTTGTGGTGACCTGTTGGTGTCTGATCGTACCACTATGACTAGCCATGCCATTTATTGATGTTGGATGCTTTGTTATACGGTAATACAAACAAACCCTGGGCTTAGAAGGAGCAGCCATGCACATGACCACTACAAGTGCAACAGAGAGTACTATATTTTTCAAGAGAGCGACTGACTAACAACACGAACAAGACAGCTAGGAAATATAATATTTTGTACCTGCTACACTGCATGCAATAAACCCAGGGCCATGGTGCTGGGACTTGTACCCTGCGCGGTTGGAAATAGGGGTGAGTGATATTGGAAACACATAGTTTGCGCTTCTAGAATATTGAGCATGTCAGAAATAACTGAGCAGGAATGAAATGAACTAGCACAGAGTTTGGTACAAGTAGGAAACCCTAACTTTGTGTACCCCCTAAGGTGTAACCCACTACAGCCTACACAATATAAACATACAATGTTTGACACACCCCCATAGGCGCAGTGGGAGACAACCACAGGGTCACAAGACCAGTCAAAGCAAAGCAAAGCAAGCTCAGGGTGGATCTCAAGGATTCCACACAAATTCCGAGCACAAGCAAGCGGTCACAAGACCAGTTCACATGCAGGTTTATAACAAAGCAAGAGATACAGTGATCACAACCTAACAAAAGTAAACAAGTAGGCATATATATATAGTGATCACAGTACAAGCAAGGTCAAGAGGTAAGCAAGTGAGGCCCAGTAGGTACAAGGCCTAGCAGAGTGCAAAAGCGCTGATGGTCACAAGGCTGAAGCGCCTTGGTGAACACATCAGCAGTGTTGGCCTCCGTGGCCACGTAACGCAGACAAAGCTGACCACGCTGCTGCAGCTCTCGAGCAAGGAAGTACCGCAGAGCGATGTGCTTCGTTCTGTGCTCCAGTCTGTGCTCCTCACACAAGGCAATGGCAGCCTGGTTGTCGACGTACAGCACTGGAGGAGAACGAGGCCGCTCTCCAAGGTCGGTCAGCAGGTAGGTCAGCCAGCGTAGCTCCTGAGCAGCCATGGCTGTGGCGTAGATCTCAGCCTCACAACTGGAGCTGAGAACAGAAGAAGAGCGAGTAGAACGCCAAGAAACTGAGCCAGAGCCAAGGCTGAAGGTGTAACCCTGGGACGACCGCTGAGTAGCCTGGTCGTCTGCCCAAGAAGCGTCTGAGTGCCCTGTGAGAACAACCCGGTCTCGCCCTCCAAGCACAAGCCCCATGCCCGACGTACTGCACAAGTAGCGCAACACCCTCTTAGCAGCATCCATGTGCTCCTTCCGGTGACGGCCAGGAGCGACATAGCGTGCTAGGATGCTAAGAGGGTATGCAAGGTCAGGTCGAGTGCAGGTCATCAGGTACATGAGGCAGCCCACAAGCTCTGGATACGGGCCACTCGGCTCTACGGACTCATCCGAAGGCAGAGCTGAGAGCGAGTGACCGGTAGGCAGAGGAGTGGACTGAGGCGAGGAGTACGTGAAGCGGAAGCGCTGGAGAACCTGCTGCACCATGTGTGACTGAGTCAGGGTGATGGTGCGCCGTGCTCTGTCCCGGGTGATCCGCAAGCCAAGATAGCTCGTCAGCTCACCCAGGTCTGTGCACGTGTGTCTCCTCTGCAGCTCCGACTTCACGTGAGCGAGTGCCGCGGTGTCAGCAGTGGCAAAGACCAAGTCGTCGACGTACACGAGGATGTAGAACGGCGGCAGCGAGGTGTCGGTGCGTAGAAACAGTGACGGGTCAGCAGTAGAGGGAGCGAACCCAAGAGCCGCAAGTGTCGTCCTCAGTGTGTCGTGCCACTCACGTGGCGCCTGGCGGAGACCGTAGACCGGCCGCTGAAGCCTCCACTGGGTGCCAGGAGGAACTGACCCAGTGAAGCCAGGAGGGCGGCGCAGCCAGATCTCCTCGTGCAGGCTGCCCTGCAAGAAAGCAGTGCTGAAGTCAAGAGAGTGAAGCTCGTAGTCGCGGTGAGCGGCTATGTGCAGTAGCACCCGAAGAGTAGTCATCTTCGGGGTGGGGGAGAAGGTCTGAAAGAAGTCTACTCCCTCTCGCTGACTGAAGCCTCGAGCCACGTAGCGCGCCTTGAAGACAGGTGGAGAACCCGGCGGCCGCTTCACCCTGAAAATCCACATGCCACTGACGATGTTCGCCCCAGGAGGGGGAACCTCGTCTACGTAGGTGCCTGTGGACTTCCAGGAGGCCATCTCTGCGTCCATGGCTGTCTGCCACTGAGAGGAGTAGGGACCCGCCATCGCCTCAGCGTAAGAGCGTGGGGTCGGGATGTCTGGTGCATCCGGGTCTCCCTCAGGGGCAACTAGCAAGGACACGAGATGGGGCAAAGCAGCAGCAAGGCAGTGGAACTCCTCCTGTCTGTCCTCAAGGACGTCCGTGCCGAGGGCACACTCACCCCCGACGGACGGAGGTCAGACAGACGCAGACTCAGACCTAGCGACAAGGCTGGCAGCGTAGTCTAGGCGACAGCGAGCAGCAAAGTCAACCAACTCAGCGACCAGAGCAGACGCAGCAGAGGACTCAAAGGTCGGGTCAGTGACAACTGTAGCGAGGAGACGCGTAACAGTGGGACTGGCAGCACGACGGGAGTCAGACTCCGGGTCAGGAAGAGTAGGAAGAGAGGACGCAGGAGGAGACGGCAGCGGGACACGCTGCGGAGCAGTGGAGGGACGCAGAGTCATGTAGTGAGTGCCAGGGACAGGAGGAGGACGCTCACGTGGGACACGACGACCAGTGCGAGCAGTACGAACAGGCGACGCAGGACGAGACTCAGGCTCACGACGCTCTGTAAGACCTCTTGTGGGACCAGCGTAAGGGGAGGGAGCAGGGAGAGGCGAGGCAGGCGGTAACTGTGACTGCGGCTGGACAGGCAGAGGACACTCGACTGAGGGAGGAGGACTAGGAGGAGGAGCCTGACCAAGAACCTGCTGAAGGAGCGGTACGAAGTACGGTCGCGGCCGCGTAGCGTCTCCAGAAGCAGCAGGGACACCAGTGGCAGCCCCAACGCCCGAGTCCTCAGTACCAGCAGCAGCTCCAGCCCCCGGGTCCTCAGCACCAGCAGCAGCACCACCGGTCGGGTCCTCAGCACCAGCAGTAGCTCCAACGCCCGGGTCCTCAGCACCAGCAGCAGGGCCACTGGTCAGGTCCTCAGCACCAGCAGCAGCGTCACCGGTCGGGTCCTCAGCACCAGCAGCAGCTCCAACACCCGGGTCCTCAGCACCAGCAGCAGCTCCAGCGTCCGGGTCCTCAGCACCAGCAACAACACCACCGCTCGGGTCCGCAGCACCAGGAGCACCACTACGAAGACTGCAGCGCCGCGTGTACCACTCGCGGATCACCTGAATGGGGGGGAGCTCCTGGGTAGGAGGGGAAGTACCGGGACGAGCTCCAGAAGCACCTCTCCGGAGGCGGCAGTACTCGAGGTACCTCTCCTGCAGCTGCTGGGAGGAGAGGGCTCCTCCAGGTGGAGCACGCTCAGGCTCAGCACCCCCAGACTCAGCACCCCCAGACTCAGCACCCCCAGTCTCAGCACGTCCAGGCTCAGTACCCTCAGGCTCCGCACCTCCAGGCTCCGCACCTCCAGGCTCCGCACCTCCAGGCTCAGCACCCCCAGGCTCCGCACCTCCAGGCTCAGCACCCCCAGGCTCCGCACCCTCAGACGCAGCACTCCCAGGCTCAGCACCCCCAGACGCAGGACGCGAGTCAACAGCTACCTCGACAGGCTCACCCGGGTCTACCTGGGACACACCTGAGGGAGCGGCACCCTGAGGGGGGAGGGGGTCTGGTACCTCAGCACCTGGAGCGAGGAAGAGAGGCGGGGGGGGGAGCGGGGCAGTGCGGTAGGGGAAGAGGCGGTAGAAGGGGACGGACTCGTCAAAAGTGACGTCCTGAGAGGCCAGAACCCGGCGCGAGGTGACGTGGTAAAACTGCCATCCAGGCGCGTCGGGAACAAAGCCAAGAAAGACACAGGGAACAGCGCGACGCGAGAGCTTGTCCGCGGACGTGTCGCGGACAAAAGCTCGAGATCCCCAGACCCGGAAACGCGACGCATCGCCAACCTCTCCCGTCCACCGTAGAGTCGGGGAAGTCTCCGGCAAGGAGACACGGGGCCAGAGGTTGAGCTGATGCGCTGCGTACCGGACCGCAAACGGCCACAGAAAGTGGGGAGCAGCCGCATGGGTCAGGGAGGTACGAGCGACCTCCATGACCAAGCCAATGCGGCGCTCAGCGACCCCATTCTGCTGTGGAGAGGCCGGAAGCGTGTACGACTGCTCAATGCCGTGCTCAGCACAGTAGGCTGCCAAGAGGTCGGAGGCAAACTCACCACCTCTGTCAGAGTGCAAGCGCAGGACAGGAAAGTCCGAGTGAAAGCGCTCGCCTAGCTGGAGACGGGCTCGGCTGATCCAGGGGATCAAAACACCAGGGACGTCACCCTTGGCGCGCAAGGGGAAGACCGTGGTGTAGCGCGAGTAGTCGTCAACAACTATCAGGAAGTACCTCTCCTGACCCTGACCACGGACGCGGGCTGGGCCCCACACGTCCATGTGGAGCGTCTGCAGGGGAGCGGTCGTCGGGGGAAAGGAGGAGGAGTGAGGAGCGGCGCGCTGCCGCCCCTCGACACAGGGAATGCAGTCAGGAGCAGGGGAGTCAGGAAGGGGAGGGAGCACCCTGGGAAGACCAGCAACAAGGTCCCGTTTGTGCATGGCCCGCAGGCGCTGCACAGACGGGTGACCAAGGCGGTGGTGCCAGAGGACGGTGTCGTTCGCCAGAGAGCGACACGAGCAGGGGGCGGACAGCTGACCTGACGCTGACGCAGACGCAGCTACCTGAGGGGACTCAGTGGTCAGTGTGTACAGGTCAGACCCCGGCTCTCGAGTGAAAGTAGCTAGGTGGCGGCCCGTCCGAGCACACGTGCAGTGAGTCACACGCTCGTAGGCAGGGGTGAACTGGTGAACACCCCCGTCCTGGAGCGCACTACCTGCCACCAAGTTCGTGGAGAACGAGGGGAGGTAGAGACCTGAGAGCGTGCCGGACGGAACCGCTGGACACGGAAGGGTGGTGGAGGAGGTCGCAAGGACCGGACCCCCAGAGGGGTCAGCAAGAGAGACAGCAACCGGCCGAGCTAGAGGCTCAAGGACAGTGCGGTCACGAAAGAAAGAGCGAGAAGCACCTGAGTCCAGTGTGAAGGTGTGCAGTGCTGCAGTCGACTCAGTACCAGGGGGCACAGACGCACAAGCACCTAGAGCAGCAGCTGCAGTAGTACCTGTGGAAGCAGACACACTAGCACCTAGAGCAGCAGCGGGGCTGGCCTGAATGCCCGGGTCGGGCGGAACACGCAAGTACTGAGCACCCTCTCCACTAATAGACATCGCATACATGGCAGTGAGAATAGCATCAAAGTCTAGTGCCCAAATATCAACACCCTTCCTGAGCAGCTCAGCCCAGCGCGGCAGCTCACCCCCACCAGGAAACTGGGTGCGCCACGCATCGTTGAGGCGGGCGAAGCAGCGCTCCGTCTGGTGCGGCCCCCCACACGTCTGGCCAGTGCGGTCACCTGTACGAATAACGTACTGGCAGGTGACGCTGCGCCGCGCATACCACTCACGGGCGGCCTGAAGGGTCGGGGCAGGCTGCTGACTCTGACCGCCCCCCGGGCCTCCACGACCACCACCCCCGCCGCCTCCGCCCCGGCCACCTCCACCCCTGCCGCTGCCACGACCACCTCCGCCTCCGCTGCCACCTCCGCCCCTGTCACCACTCCCAACGCCGCTGTCACCTCCACCACTGCCGCCACTAGCCTCTCCAGTCGCACCTCCACCGCCACCACCTCCACCCCCGCCTCCTCCGCCACCACCCCCACTCCTGCCACTCCTGCCCCTGCGTCGTCCGCCTGAAGCAGACGCAGCCCCGACCTTCTCAGCACCAAGGAGGTCGACAGCAGCAGCAGAGGCGACAGAGGGGAGGAGGGGGGAAGGGGAGCACCCCTCGAAGAAGGGGCCGCGGGGGTCGCCACGAGAGGTGCCTACAGCGACGATACTAGCCTCGGCTGCAAGCAGTTCCTTCTCGAGGAGGTCTACGGTGAGCTCAGTGGGGGAGCGAGAGAGGAACTGGTCCCTGACAGGGCGCAGAGAGTCAGGGAGGCGGGTGACAACGTGGTAGAGAGTGATCCAGAGCGGGGGGGGGTTGCTAGCGAGGAACTCGTCAGGCATAGCAGCGCGAAAGCGGGCCTCACTAGTCTTAAGGTGGGTGATGAGGTCTGCGACAGTGTGAAAGGAGGCTAGGTCGGGGAACAGGTAGGGGAGAGTGAGGCGGCCTAGCGTGGCAGAAGCGGGTGAGGAGTAGCGGGCCACTACAGCTGTGTAGAGGTCCTTAGCAGTCTTGCACTGGCCGAAGTGCTCGCGCTCATCTAGCGGCAGGGAGTTGCGAATAGCAAAGCGAGCGTGCGCGTCACGGGTCTGCCACTGTGAGCGCTCAGCTGGGGGGGCAGTAGCGAGTGGGGCGGTCGCATGGCCGAGAGCGTGGTCGTACAGTGTAATATCTTCCTTGGCAGTGAGCTGTAGGAAAAGGTGCAGGTCATCTAGCCAGGTTTCGAATTTGACCGGACGGCCCTCGGCGTCGAAAGCTAGAACAGGAGGACTAGCCATAGCGACAGCGGCAGTAGTAGAAGCAGTAAAGTCACTGAAAAGGCGTGCGCAGGGTCAGCGGGGCCGGTGGGGCCTACGGACTGTAGTGGCGCACAAGCAGCAGTAGCAGGAAGTGTAGTAGTAGGATCTGCAGTGGTGCACAGGCGCAGCAGGCGGCAGCGAGAGCCGGCGCAGCAGGGGCGGGCTCAGCAGCGGTGATACGCGGGCGGCGGCGGGCGCAGCAGCGGCGGTGCGCGGGCGGCGGCGGGCTCAGCAGCAGCGGTGCGCGGGCGGCTGTGGGCTTAGTAGCGGCGGGCCGGGAGCAGGCAGCGCGCGGGCCGTGCGGGCCGTATGTGAGCTGCGCGGGCAGCGTGCGGGCCGGCGGCGGTCAGCGCAAGAGCCGCGCAGGCTCAGCGCGGGCTGCGCGGGCTGCGTAAGCGGGTCGCGGGCGGCTCGCGGGGGTTCGCGGGCAGGTCGCGGGCTGCTCGCGGGCAGTTCGCGGGCTGTGCGCGGGCTGCGCGGGCTGGTCGCGGGCTGCGCAGGCGGTTCGCGGGCTGTGCGTGGGCGGTTCGCGGGCTGTGAGCGCGGCGCGCTGTGCGGTTCGCGGGCGGCGTGACGGGGCCGATCGGGGCGCTAAGGGGCGACGCGACGGGGGCCGTGAGAGGCCGCTAGGAAAAAAAAAAGTCGAAGGGGCCGCAGGGCCGCTAGATCGTGCTAGATCGACGGGGCCAGCGGGGCCGGAAACAAGCGAAGGTAAGCAGGTAGGTAAGTCGGTGGGCCCTAAGAACAGTCCTAGCGAAGGACCTGCTCTGAAACCATGTCAGAAATAACTGAGCAGGAATGAAATGAACTAGCACAGAGTTTGGTACAAGTAGGAAACCCTAACTTTGTGTACCCCCTAAGGTGTAACCCACTACAGCCTACACAATATAAACATACAATGTTTGACAGAGCATTATGACAAGAACGAAACAGGCCCACAAGCGAAGCAACACAACACCGAGTCAACCGAGCTACAGCGAAGTGGTTGACAAAAGCGACAACAGTGGAAAGTTAAAGCGAAGGTCAAAGGTCAAGGACCTTTGACTTGACAAAGCAGCACGACAGCAAGGACAAATAACTGACTCGCTATTGAGCAGTTACCCGAGTCGTCGCTGAATCAAACCGCAATAGCAGTTGCAGTTACAGTTGGATACAAAGCGGTTAAGTTTCTGATATTTCTGTAATCATATATAAACCTTGTATCCCTGCATTATAATCAACTTATCTTGTTCTCACATACCAGTACAAGGTGGTTCAACCAGTCTTATTAAGACGCTTCCGCTAATACATTATTATCCTGAGCCTTAGTCATTGAAAAGATCCTAAGCGCTTTTGTCAGCCCAACAAGTGAAAGGGGGAACAGATTGAGCAGCTGAAAATAAAGTGAACTTGCAGAAACAAAGCGAGTAGGGGGGAAGAGAGTGAGCAGGGGGGAACAGAGTGAGCAAAGGGGAAGAGAAGGGGAAACAGAGTGATCCAAGGAAGAGAATGAGCAGGGGAAGCAGAGTGGGGTGGGGAAGAGAATGAGCAGGGGAAGCAGAGTAAGCTGGGAGGAATAATGAGAAGGGGAAGCAGAGCGAGCCGGGGAAGAGAATCAGCAGGGGAAGCAGAGTGAGCTGTGGAAGAGAATGAGCAGGGGAAACAGAGTGGGGTGGGGAAGAGAATGAGCAGGGGAAACAGAGTGAGCTGGGGAAGAGAATCTGCAGAGGAAGCAGAGTGAGCTGGGGGGAATAATGAGCAGGGGAAACAAAGCGAGCCGGGGAAGAGAATTAGCAGGGCGTTGGGAGGGGAAAGTGAGGGCGACGGGAGGGGGAAGCGAGGGCGACGGGAGGGGGAAGTGAGGGCGACGGGAGGGAGAAGCGAGGGCGACGGGAGGGGGAAGCGAGGGCGATGGGAGGGGGAAGCGAGGGCGATGGGAGGGGGAAGCGAGGGCGATGGGAGGGGGAAGAGAGGGCAATGGGAGGGGGAAGTGAGGGCGACAAGAGGGGGAATTGAGGGCGACGGGAGGGGGAAGCGAGGGCGACGGGAGGGGGAAGCAAGGGCGATGGGAGGGGGAAGCGACAGCGATGGGTGGGAGAAGCGAGGGCGATGGGATGGGGAAGCGAGGGCGATGGGCGTTGGAAGCGAGGGCGACGGGAGGGGGATGCGAGGGCGACAGGAGGGGGAAGCGAGGGCGACGGGAGGGGGAAGCGAGGGAGATGGGCGTTGGAAGCTTTGGTGATGGATGGGTAAGCTAGGGCGAAAAGGGGGAAGCGAAGGCGATGGACAGTGGATGCGAGATCGACGGACGAGGGAAGCGAGGTCGATAACGCTCTGATTTCTCACGTCGTGTCGCACATTATCTCCGTGCTTCACACTCACATTCGCTTTCCGTTCCCTCCCTCGGTCCTCTGCTTCCTCTCGAAAGCGACCGAAAAGTATATATTCTCACATGTTACACCTAGCTATTTTAGACTGGATACTTAGTTTCCTAACACTTGCGCTTGCAGACTTTAGTGAAAACCTGGGTTGTGAGCTGCGTGAGGGTGGTTGGGTTGTTCAAGTTTCTTGAAGTTGAAGTTGAAGTTGCGATACACTGTGGAGCATTCCGCTTTCGCCACCTCTCTCCGGCGATCTTTTCTCTTGTCAACCTTCGTGAAACCCCTTTTCAAATTCAGTATGTATGAACCCTTGCCATTCTAGGTGCTGGCTTTAAGCTAGAAGTCCCTGACGGAATCCATCCAGCCTAGCACTAGCTAGCTTGCATGCACCGCGTTACTGTTCGCTGATGTCTTCGCTCATACTTTGTACTCGTTTAAAGCCAGGATCTCAAGTAGTTCAACTGTTTTGCAATTGGTGAATTGAGCTAGGCTATGATTGGTTGGCGAGGTAGAGAAGTTGACGAGGGTTGAAACGAGAGATGCGAAGCAAACACGAATCGTAGGGTGCTTTCGAACCACCTAGGCATGGAAATTTGGTTGGGTGCCGAAGCTACTACCAGCAATGTGTTTGTTGGAAACATATAGTTCACGCTTCTGATTTTTTTGCACTATAACAAGAACGAAGCAGACCCACAGCGAAGCAACACTGAGTCAACCGAGCTACAGCGAAGCGGTTGACAAAAGCGACAACAGTAAGTAGTTGAAGCAAAGGTCAAAGGTCAGCAAACTTTGAGTCGACGAAACAGCACGACAGCAAGGACAAATAACTGACCAGTTATTGGGCAGTTACCCGAGTCGTCGCTGTATCGAACCGCGTTAGCAGTCACAATTACAGTTTGTAAAACCTTTCATATTCCTTGTAATCATATAAAAGCCTTGTATCTTTACGTTAATCAACTTATCTTGTTCACACATACCAGTACAAGGTGGTTCAACCAGTCTCATTAAGACGCTTCCGCTACTACACCATCACCCTGAGCCTTAGTCATTGACAAGATCCAAGGGCTTTATCAGCCCAACATGGTATGAGAGCTAGCAAAGACAAGGCTCCAACTACCTTCACTTTCTACAACTCACACGACAGAAGACATGGCAACACAAAAGGAAAGGAGATCGTCGACTGGATCTCTCGGCACTACTCCTACTCCACCTCCGGTCTCTGGACTACAAATAGTAGGGGGCACTGCCCAAGGACCAACTGCAGAATCTACTGAAGCACCTGTGACCTTCGACTGGCTTCGACCCAAGCATGATGGAGAAGTTCTTCTCCTTACTGTCGTTCTACGAGCAACAGCAAACGGCACCTGCGCAGTCAAACAACAGCAACAACGGAGTTACTCCCATGAGCCTTGATGGCTCTTCCTTTGCGCGCGGAAATCATCAACCTACCTTCACACCATATGAGCCTCAACGCGGCTCCGTCAGCTTCATGCCGAATCGCCTTCCACCTGGACAAGAGACCAAGACAATGGGCGCGCTTCAGCTGCTGTCACAATTCGCACACGTGTTGGAATTGCAAACGTCAACACCATTCGACGGGAAGGACTTCCATACCTGGTCCTTCGAATTCGAATGGATGGTGGAAGGAGCCCAAATCCTCGGGTTCTTCGACGGTTCCCTGCCATACCCAACGCACGGGACACATTATGACAAGCAGCAGTACACGTATCAGTCACTGATAGCGTACACCATCCTCCTGCGAAACATCGCGGCAAGCAAGCAGCAGAACATTCGAACTTATCGCGGATACGGTAACTCCACCGAGCTCGCCTACAACCACCTGAAGAACCTGTATCAAGCAAACGTTAGCGTAAATCAGAGTCGTCTCATGGCGCAACTCACAACAGTCCAAATGCAACCCGACGAAAAGGCAATGGCCTATATCAGTCGCTACCGCGGTCTACGCGACATACTCCTTCGGTGCGGGGAGCACTATCCGAAGACACTTTCGTCACCGCCATCCTCGCGGGCCTCAGTCCTCAATGGCGTTCCACCCGGGCCATTCTCCGGGCCCATGGAAGACTCCTTGAAACAAGCCTTTGCGCAGAACTCTATGCCGAGCAACAAGATATGGACCTGCCAAAGAACGACACAAGAAAAGGGCATCAGTACTAGAGTTTGCCT